TGGCCTCTTCACAGGTGCTTGTTTGATGAATGTTCTATACAGTAAATCAAGTAACCTCAGCCGGCTAAGTTTAGATAGCCCACCTGTAACTGTAGCAACTGACCAAAAACATTAAAAAAGTGCATGAGATGGTGTTACATTGCAAAAGTGTAATTTTTTTAGGGACCCATTACACATACTTAATCTCAAAATTGCGAGACGCTCTTAAACATAAATGTTGGAGAACCTCAACAAGTAGCGTACTGTTTCGTTAGGATAAGGTTCCCGACCATGAATTCTGTCTTGCTATAGCTGCCGTTTACCGACTATGATTTGAATTGGTACATAACTCACCGCATTCGCCAGACTTGGCCCCCAGCGATTCCATATCATTACCAAAATTAAAAAAAATATTTAACGACGTAAAAAACAACAAATTAACCGGTGATCGTAGAGGAGTAGCGATCGAACAAGTGCACTGACGTTAGTGGGGAATTAAGGAGAAAAATAAAAAAATATGAAATAAACGTGGCTTTAACGCAAAGATGTCAAGGGCGGAGCCTGTAAATCAACCCTTATATTGTTGTTTGCACACCTCCCTCCAATATAAGAAATGTGTCCAAATTCAGCGAAATCATTCTAGGGGTGATTTATACAGTTCTTTTCAAAAAGGTCCTCCCATCCCCCACTTATTTTTGAACGGGCCAAGCTGGCAGGCTGAAATTTGGGGTGATGAAATTGATGACAGTTGAAAGCTTCAAGATTTTGGCTGGCTGCCATTTTGGAGCATTATTTTAAATACAATGGAGAATCATGTGATACCGAAGATTGAAGTTGCTTATGCCTTTTATATTCCTGAAATGTAAATTTACTATCTGATTTCTTTCTCGTGTAATGTTGCCAATCTATTTCGGTCTGCTATATGGTTTTAACCATCCATCTATTTTTCACTTCCCACGTCTACTGGCAGGGAAGTATTGTAAGCGCGAAAATGTTCGAAAATAAGATGTTTTTTCACGAAAAAACACGTCCGTCGGCCTGTTGGCATGTCCGCTAATCTTATAACCGCCTATAACTTGAGAAGAGCCGCTGGGATTTTGATGAAACTTTTACAGTGCTACTACTATATTCTTTACGGTGTTTGAAACTGGTCCAGTGGTGACAAAACAAGGGATAAAAACGCGAAAAAAATAAAAAGCGCTCAAACTTGTTTTTTTGATGTTTCATAGGCTCCTGATCATTTTCAGAAAATTTCTTTATAATCTGGGATTGTAAGGGAGGATATATACAGTAATGGACAAAAGTATATAGACAAATTAATATTGTGCTGTATTTCTTTTTTAACTTGTTTTATTAATACACCAACCTGTATACATAATTCGTTATAGCATAATATTCACTTATACATAAATTCTATAGACTCCCTTCAATAAAAAACTAATTGAAAAAAACTGTAACTATGAAGGACAAAAATATATAGACAAAGCAAAACAATTATAGAAAAAAGAAGCAAAGTTCAATGAATTATAGAAAACCAACCGTGTTTGTGTTAATATTTTGTAGCCTAACCATTATTATCAATCACCACCTGGCATCGTCTCGGCATAGATTGTAGAAGTTTCTTGATATAAGATCCATCAATCTGTCTCCACTTTTGCTCTAAAGCAGCAAAAAGTTCATCCTTGTTTGAATAATTTTTATCTCGTATTTGCTTATCTAAGCATTCCCATAGATTTTCAATGGGGTTTATATCGGGAGACTGTAAAGGCGATTTGAGAACTGGTATTTTTTCATCCAGAAAGAATTTCTTTGCGAGATTTGAAGTGTGCTTCGGGTCATCATCTTGCTGGAAGATTAATCTTAAGGGCATATTGTCTTCCATATAGGGTAACATGACATGCTATAGTATGTCTATGTATGTCTATGTATACAAGCTTATCCATAATCTCTTCTATGTAAAGGTCTATGTAAACCCCGAAAAGCACCCAAAAACCATAACAGGCCCGCCTTCATGTTTTACAGTGGGCAAAGTGTACTTGGGGTTCAATCTTTGTCCACTAGGACGTCTAACGTAATCAACACCATCTGATCCAAACATATTGAACTTGGATTCGTCACTGAAACACACCCTCTTTCAGTCACTTATGCTCCAATCAAGATGCAACCGTGCATATTGTAATCGGTCCTTATGGTTTTTCCTCGAGATTAGCGGCTTCTTACTCGGGCGACGTGCAAATAACTAGTTTTCGTAGAAACACTGATAATTCCTTTTGACTCGATTTCGGCTTGTATTTCTCTTGGGGTTTTAAACGGATCTTTGGACGAAATTACTTTTATTAATCTAACTGATCTAGCATTTAGTTTTATAGGCCGACCACTTATCTTAGAGGCTTCCAAGATACCTCTTTGTTTATATTTGTTCAATATTGCCCAAACTGCTTTACGCTTCAGCTTCAAATTTTTGGCAATGTCGACCTGAAGTTGACCATCTTTGTATAATTCAAAGATCTTAGTTTTCACATCGAAAGAAATTTCTGGACTACGCGGCATGGTCTTGAAATCACTCACTTATTCCACAATACTTGATGAACACAAACTAATCCTCTTCTGACACGAAACTGTACTAAAAAACTAATGTTGAAAAGAATTTGTCTACATATTTTCGTCCCTCATAAAAAAGTTCTTATATTCAGACTTGTATTGTGTTCATTGCAGATAATGTGAAAACAAGGAATTTAGTTTTTTACTAATAACGCATTTGTTTATGGAGCAATGAAGTATGAATTCGTTTTCTAAAGGTATTTAGGTAAATATTCATATTTGTCTATATACTTTTGTCCATTACTGTATATATATATATATAATTTTTCAGGCAGCAGCATATTTTACACTTCAAACCCCATTAACTCTACGTACCTATTAGTAGATATTATCGTCAGTCGTTCCTACAATTGTAGGACGCCTTTATGGAATGAACAATTTGATGCAAATAGATATTTGAAACATAACCTCAAAATAGATCGCCTTTTTGAAGTACTGGAGATACTATGAAAATCAAGGAGGCCATAAAGGCGGCCTACAATTGTAGGAACGACTGACGATACCGCCCTTAGAGAAATGTTTATAGTCACGCGATCGCGGTCGGGCGCCGCAACCTTAATACGCTGTGTCTGCGTCTGATTGACTCTGAATTCATCGCTGGTTTTCTCGAGTTACTATTTTCTATAGTGGAGTGGTTCAGCACCGTTGCCAGATGGTCGATACTTCGAGAAGAGAAGAAACTAGCGTTAGCGTTAATAAATGGATGGGGACTATGGAGTATCGACTAATTGCAAGAGCCTGTTTGGCTGACTTAATCCATTTTTTTTTTGTTATGTATGTTTGTAGCTAGTTAAGAGGGACTACCTTGCGCCGAACATAATCGTTTATGAACTGATGACAACGTTGCGTGGGAATCGCACAGTCAACCTACTTGACGCCACTTTTAACTCCCTATAAAACATAAATTATATAATTATGTCATTTTACAGAGTTATTTCATTTTTACTTATCAGTTTTGTGTAATTTTAGGTATTGTTCTATTCTACTGTATTTTTATTAACTTATTTGTTTATTTATTCTTTACTACTCTATAATTAATTGTTGCAGACCTGTGTAGGCACTGTAGTGAATCAACACCAAGAAATTATTGTAACAAAAAACTTCGTAAAATCTGCCGCAAACGTTTCGTTTTCAGAATACAATCGTTCCAAAATGTTTTTCATTAAATATTTCGAAAATGTCTAGGCTTATTTTAACGAAAGTTTGTAAACGACTAGTGTTACGTAGAACCACTCAACTGATGTTAGATTTGAATCAGTCCGTCCAAAGGGTACTATTAATTTTTGAATTATTAATCGAGCAGTTCGAGATTTTTGCGTGTCCAGATTATTTTTCGACAAAAAATGAAAAATGGTCAATAGAAAACAAGATTAGAGGGTAGGGATTCACCGAGTAGAACTTTTTTCAAAAAGCCGACTAGCGCGTATTCGGTTGAGGTATTTGCCCTGCACTTATTTGCCTTCCAGCTGGTGAAAGTAATGCTCAGATTATATTTTTTTGGAAATATCCTTCTATTCCAAAACAATTCCAAGAAAATGCACCACAAAAATTAGTGTCTGGCTTAGACATGGTTTTCAATGTATACTTCAGGTTTCTGAGCTGCCTTCGGAGGAGATTACAAAAAAAAAACAAATTAACACAAATTGAAACTGATGGATGTCATGCGGGACCAATTCAGATTTGGGAAGGACGAAACCTATAATGTCCTTACATGTGATTAAAGGTATTTTGCAGGAATGGGGGTAATCATTAGTCACGTAAATTTTCAACATTTGCTGCATTTTGTTTACTGTGTTTTGCGTTTTTTTATTGTTTTTTGGATGTTCATTATGAACTTTGTTTATTTTGTTTTGCATTTTTTGTTTGTTTGTTTTGAAAGTTCATATGATAAAAGAGCAAATATAGGATGCAAAAAGGCAATATAACTATAATGTGGTTTCAGATTAAACTGTTATAGAAGCTGCTTCATAGACTTACCGTACTTTTTATGAAACACATGTAATAGTAACACATTGTATATAAAAAATACGCTAAGCAAATACTGTAAATCAGACTGCACACAAAACTGCAATTCTTAGATTTACACGTTTGTTTTTTGGGTTCAGACCGAGTAATTTAATACTCGACAAAACCGGCCTAAAATGCACCCAGTACCGGGTACAAACCGAGTACTCGTTGGATCATTAAAAATGTATTGTGTTTGATGGAATGAAACTATCCAATTAATGAAAGAAAAACCATTGGTGCTCTTGTAAAGATCTAACAAATCAGTGTTATAGTTTGAAATTAACTTGAGCCATCTGCATGATAGCAAATAGAAATCACAATATTCGATGCGACAATACTCTACAATGAACTGGAAGAATCGCCATGGTATGTCTTAGTTTAAATAGAGTCTTTGAACAGCTCCAAAAACGTTATCTACCTGTTTCTAACTGGTTTAAAAGCATACTCCTCAGAAATGGTCCTGCAAGCAGCAATTGCGCCTTCAGAGTCTGTGCTGGAGGAATGGGTGTCACTGCAGTTGCCATGTCTTGCTGCTGCCCTCTGAGGGCATCTCTTTGCACTATTCTGCTGCAACTTCTCCCTGAGGATATGATGAGGCTGTTGCTCGGGCTCGCTAAAGCAATCATCAGGCCCATCTGACTCTTCTGGGACTACCTCTCCTAAATTCAAAATTACCATAAATCAAACTACTATGTTTTATCCACGACCTAATGATAAAGTGTACTTTATGAACAGGTTTTCTGGGCGTTGTCCCACTTTTTAGCACACGGGATCTGTTATGTCCTAGGGCAGTAATGTAAAGTGGTAATAGTAGCTTTACCCAGGTTATCACCTACTATGTTTAAATTAATCCATAATGAACCACAGGAACCATGCTGATACATTTGCTACAAGGCAATGATGCACCTACCTGAGATACAATGGTACACAGTGTCCAGCTATAAATTGACCCCCCCTTAAACTTTTTTATATGACCTTTTAGAAGAAAAAGTTGTATAAAAAAAAGTGATAGAGTCTAACATACTTTTTTTGTATACCCACAAAAGTGGTATTGAATAAAGTTGTATTTTGTTAAATCGATCACCCTGCATTTTTTCAGTGAAAATGATAGTACTTGTTTGTCTGATTCCTAATATATATGATCTGATAAACTTATTTTTATTATTTTAGTCAAAAACTTAAAGTTTGTGTATCATTCGATCATACATACGAGGGATGTCTTTTAAGTTTTGCATATAGAAGCATAGTAGGCGCGCGGATCGAACGTTAGTACTGAATCTTAACCTCACTCTTTAGTAAATTTAAATTCAACAATGAATTTTTAAGTGTCACCAAGTCATTAGAAAAATGGAACTCAACAGAGAACATTTTCGCGCCATAATTTATTACAACTTTCAAAGACAATTATCGCAACAAGAATGCCTTGCTGAGTTACTGTCTGTTTTCGGCAACGAAGCGCCACATCAGTCGACAATTTCCCGTTGGTATGGAGAATTCAAACGTGGACGGGTGAGTCTTAGCGACGATCAAAGGGTGGGTGCACCAAAAACGGCAGTCAGCCAGGTTAAAACGTCGATGCTGTGCGCAAACTGATTATTGAAGATAGACATGTGACATATCCCGAGATTGAGGCGTCCTTGAAAATCTCAAAGACCTCAATTCAAAAAATTTTACATGAAGAATTAGGAGTAAGAAAATTAGTTTTTCGTTGGATACCCCACCTGTTGACTGAAGATCAGAAAGCAGCCAGGGTTAATTGGTGTCAAAAAACGCTTGACCGTTTTAATTCCGGAAACTCAAAAAATGTGTAGAGCATTGTTAGTGGTGATGAATCTTGGATTTACTGCTATGAACAAGAAAATAAACGACAGTCGACTGTTTGGGTGTTCCAAGGTGAAGAAAAGTCATCCGTTCTCGAAGCGTTTTAAAAAAGATGGTCGCGACATTTGTGTCAAAAGCGGGTCATATTGCAACAATTCCTCTTAATGAGAAAAGAACTGTTACTGCGGATTGGTATACCACCATTTGTTTGCCAAACGTCATCACCGAGCTTCGAAAAATCAACCCCGAAAGAAGAAACATCCTCCACCAAGACAATGCAAGCTCGTACACAGCCCAAAAAACAAGGCAGTATTTAACGGAAGAAAACGTGGAATTATTGGACCATCCTCCATACAGTCCCGATCTAAGTCCTAACGGAGATAGCATGTTGGATACAAGGTTAGCAAGGCTCGCAATTCGATGTGGGCTTGTAGACGTGTTATCGGTGTAAGGTGGGGGCTTAAACCCAAAGTGGTATACTGGCTCTACACGACGATAGTACGTCCATCTCTCTTGTACGGCTCCCTGGTCTGGTGGCCTTGCATTAGAACTGAGTCAACTAATTGAGTGCAATGGAAGCTCTGTTGGATCTCCCAGCGTTGGATCTGGTGATCCGCGGTGAAGCGAGAGTAGTCGCTCATCGACTGTGGAGTCAGGGCAGCTGGGCTTTCTTGAATCCCGTCAAGGGGCATACTGCCATCTTAGTCGAATTAGAAAGGGAGGACCCCGTCCTTCTAAGCAGGGGTGATCGTATTATCCCTAAATATCGCTTCAACCGCAAGTTTATTGTGGAGTGTCCAACGAGGGAGGAGTGGGACGCCGGTAGCCGAGGACTCTCCGAAGTGAGCGGGCAGGTCTGGTACACGGACGGCTCGGTCACCGAAGAGGGCTCAGGTGCTGGGGTCTCTGGGCCTAGAACTCTGCCTCTCGGTGGATACACCACCATTTTCCAGGCGGAAATCTTTGCGATTCTGGCTTGTGTATCTCACATTCTGGAGGAGGGTGGGCCTAGGAGAAGAATAACAATCTTATCCGACAGCCAGGCTGCAATGAAAGCACTAAGTGCCTGTAAGATTACTTCGAGTCTTGTATTGCAATGCAGGGAGGCTCTGGATTGCCTCGCAGCGAGGCATGCGGTATCGTTAATATGGGTACCGGGGCACGCTGGGATAAGGGGCAATGAGACGGCGGACACTCTGGCGAAAACAGGATCAGCCAGCAAGCTCGTTAGTCCTGAGCCAACTCTAAGAGTAACCGCGCATAAAGCTAGGAGGAAAATGGAGACGTGGGTTGCAAGACAACACTCTCAGAAATGGAGAAGTATCTCTAGACATCTCCGCCAGGCACGAGAGCTCATTGAAGGGCCCAGTGCTAAGGATGGACGCTTCTGCCTATCTCTGGGTAGAGCCAACCTAAGGTTGCTGGTGGGACTGTTGTCTGGCCATAACACGTTAAGGCGTCACCTGCACGTGATGGGGGTGGCTGAGGATCCCTTGTGCGAACGCTGCGGAGTAGAGGAAGAGACCTCGGCGCACGTTTTGTGTCGCTGTGAAGCTCTGAGCTACTATAGGCAGACTATACTGGGGTCCATTACTTTGGACCCTCAGGACGTCAAGGAGCTTGGACAAGGCGATTCTCAACTTCGCTAAAAGGGCGAGGCTTGTGATTTAAGTATTGTAGAGGTGCATAAAGGCCCGCTTAAGCGGCCTATGCACTGGCTCCTTATGGTGGCCGGGATGCCTCTAAATTTTAAGATTCATTCATTCAAGTCCTAACGATTTCTTTACTTTCCCGAAAATTAAAAACAGACTGCGTGGTCAAAGGTTCCAGTCACCAGAAGAAACAGTTGACGCATTCAAAAATGCCGTTTTGGATCTAGCAGCAAACGAGTGGAATAAGTGCTTCGAAAGTTGGTCCGAGCGCATGCAGATGTGTATTAATCTTCGTGGAGAATACTTCAAAAACAATAAAGTCATTTAAAGCTACCAACCGTGTTGTTTTATTTCCATATGCAAAACTTAAAAGACATCCCTCGTATTCCTATGCCAGACTGCATACGAACCCTGTCGCATATGAGTTGGACCAATGAAATATATTTATAGAATGTTGTATTTGTGCACTAATTTTTATTTATTTTAAATAACTTGTACAAAAACAACCAAGATAATTTGATGCTTTGTGGTATTAACAACTAATCAACAATATTTGATATATATTTAAATTACAATAATAGACAAAAACAAAAAAATTGTTTATGATATCCGTCGCATATTAGTTAGAGTAGTTAGACCATCTCATGCAATACGATAAAAAAATGCTGACACGGCGAAATCGGATCTTTTTTTAAAGCGGGCCTTGGCACAATTGAATAGAATAATGTTGGCCTAGAGATGTCAATTTAACGTTTAATTGTAAAAATGGTTCGCGGAAAAGCATTGTCCGACGATATGAAAAAATCAGCATTCCTGAAGGAACAGTATGAAACATTATCTCACTATTTAAACAAAATGGAAATATTGAAACAAAAATTAGAAATGGCCGTCGTTCGAATATTACAGACAGAGATGAGCGTGCTTTTCGTGCAATTATCAAAGAAGATCGCAGAACTGCGTCGAGGGAAATAGCTGTAAAATGGTCACATGCGGTTGGTGAAAAAGTTTCAAAGGATACTTGTTCAAGAACGATGAAAAAAATGGGATATTCATTCTATGAAGTAAGTTGTGACTGTTGTGAGTATCAAAGACTGCTCGAGATTATTTATTTTTCATTTTAGGCGAAGGAAAAGCGACTTCTTTCTTAAAAATAAAAACCAAACCGACTTTTATGGGCAAGAAAGCATAAAAACTGGGTACAACATTGATGGGATTCGGTTACCTGGAGCGACGAATCCAAGTTTAATGTATGTGTTGGCGATTCACGAAGCAGACTTATCCGCATGCGAGGAGAATAATATCATACCAACTGTCTCAAGAAAAAGGTTAAATTTCCAGCATATGTAATGGTATGGGGATGTCTTCACAAGGAGTGGGACGTCTTCTTTTGATTGATGGCACCGTTAATGCTGCTAAATATTAAATCATTTTACAAGAAGAATTTCTGCCATTCATCAACACGATTCAATTTCGAGAAGGTGGATTCCTATTTCAGCAGGATAGTGCAGCATGCCATACAACTAAGAACATAACATCCTGGTTACAGGAAATGCATATTTCTGTTCTAAAATGGCCCTCAAGTAGCCCTGACTCATTTCCAATTGAGACCAAATGAAAAAAGCACTTCGAACTTTTCCAGTCCGCACCATTCCTGAACTAAAGCAGAAACTTCAGGAAATTTGGGATGATTTTAAACCAGAATATTACACAACATTGGTAGACAATATGGCAAGCAGAATCGATGCTGTATTAAAACGAAAAGGTGATTTAGGTGATGCACTCAGTATTAACTTTTCAAAAATGTTTAGTCCAACTAATATGTGCCAGACATTATAAGTAATTTTTTTTGATTGTTTATTATTGTATAGTTCAAAAATATAACAAATATTGTTGATTAATTGTTAACAATATATAGTTTCATATTATCTAAGTTGTTTTTGTTGAAGTTATTTTGAATAAATAAAAATTAGTTCACAAATACAACATTCTATAAATATTTTTCATTGGTCCAACTCATATGCGACTGGGCTCTCGATGGTAAGATGCAAACTGGTTCGAACTCTAATACAAATGAATAAATGACACACAAACATTAAGTTTTCGGCCAAACTAATGAAAATGAGTATGATGATCCACATATATTTTGAATCAGAAAAAAGGGACTATCATTTTCCCTATACAGGGTT